TTAAGTAGACCAATTTCTTGAAGAAGAACGTTGAAAAATGTTTTAAAAAACATGATCAACAACTCAACAAGGAAACACCATTCTTGAACTTTGGCGGTTTTGCCACTGTTTTCATCAAACTTTTTTTTTCGCTTTTCTAATTATCCCTTAATATTTCATTACTTTTATTCTTCAATTTCTTTTTTTTAATTTTCTTTATTATTTTCATATTTTGTGTTCTTTAGCATAATAAATATAATTCATTAAAGGTTTTGGATTGATCTCTAAATTCGTTACTTTCAGTAATAATACTTCCACCGTTGTCTATAAAATTACAGTTTAATTATTTTTTCATTTTACTTCTATTTTTTTAAAATTACACTTTACATTCTTGGTCAATTCAAAGCTTAAAATAAACTAAAAAGATGAATATACTCTCATATATATAACACAACACAAGCATACATCTTCCCCTTTCTTCATCCATTATATCCCTTCCCTTCTTTCTTTTTATTTTGTTTTGTCTAAACAATCACAATCAAAGCCCCTTCTAATTAAACTGAAAAATTAAATTTTAAAACACAAAATAAATTTATTTTTTTTACTCTAAATGAATTTGAAGAATTAGAATATCTAGATTTAAATTTTGATTTTATTTAGAATACCCTCATCTAGGGTTTTTTGAAGAATTTTTTGCAATACTTTCACTGACATTTTTGTTAATATTATGCATTAAGAGGTTTTTAGTTATTAAATAAAATATAATGGTAAATTTGTAAATACTTAATCTATTTTCTTGATTTTTTATGCCATGTAAATTTTTATAAACTTATAAAGTTCAAGATTCTTTTTTTTTTAATTTTTAAATAAACGAAGACAAAGTGAAAAAATAAAAAATATGTTAACACTAGTTTTATAGTTCTCTAGAAGTTATAATGTATCGAGCTATATAGTAAGAGTAAGAAAATCATGATTATACAACCCTAAACTGTAAAATTAATCTCTATCAAATTAAGTTGTCTGGTAAGGATGAACCCTCGATGATGATGATGTCACAACTGGAATCGCGAGTACATTGTCTTTTCAATCAATTATTTAGGACTTTCTTTGGATACAATCTTGTGGGGTATTAATCGGAATATAGTGTCTCATCACAGACAAACAACTAAAGTTCCAATAGTCTCAGACCTTTTTCCGGCTACTTTTTATTGTAATAATTGCTCCACTACTTTTTTTTTGCTTTCAAAACAGGTTTACTTCAAGTTATTGGAGAATTTTAACTATTCCTATAATGTGTTCATTTTTTTTTAATATAAAGACATTCTCGGATCAATTTTCGTACATTAAGTCCAAATTAATCCTTCTTGATCGGATCTTAAATGATGAATGCTCACATTGAAATATTTTCATACAGTGTTCTTTAGGATTCGAATCCAAAAACATAACATGAGGAGTCAACCTCAATATCTATTAGACCAATTATTACAAAGTTAAAATTAAAATTAAATTGAGAGGGAGAGAGATTCACGGTCTATTACTGTCACTTTTGAACAGTTCACTGTTTCTACTGTTCATTGAATATTTATTTACTAACACCTATATATTTTCACTCTTCATAGCCTCTAAGAATCGTAATGTAGACATTGAGAGAGATCCAGCATGATTAACTATAGTACTGAATTAATTAAATCATTTTTATCTAGCTCATATTTTTTTCATTGAATTGAATGTCTATTTCAGGATAAGCAAGGCCCTAGTTTTTAATATTTTTCTTGCAACACATTCCTCGTCCCTCCACGGGAATGGTTTAAGCTGAGTTTTTATTTTTCTGTAAAAGAACATTTATCTAGTAATTTGTGGCAGCATATACTATGTTATTCTATTGCCTAGTGCTGTGGTTATTATTATTTTTTTCTATAGTATTATCATTATCCAGAACTCCCTTCTTAGTTTTCCTTAGGAATATGTAAAAACAGGAAAAAAAAAAATTTATGAGTGCACCTTTGAAATTTTGTATTGATTAATTTTCATAAATCAACTTTTGAATTTTCAAAAAAATAAAATTAATAAATAAATAAATAAATAAATAATTTAAAAAATAGATTAAAACAATACGAGTTAAAAGTTTTGATAACAAATAGGGATGAAATTATAAATTTGAAAGTAAAATTTAAAAACTTAATTGAAAAATTGATAAGTCAGAAGACGGGAGAGGTGTGTTGGAAAGATGTAAAAGTGATGGTTGTTTTTTATAAAATAATTTTGTTTTAATTTTTGTTAACTTAAGTAATGTATGTTGAAAAAAGTTTATTAATCCTAGGCTTTCTAGGTATTCTCATGACCAAAATAAGATTGAAAAACCAATTTTGAATTCAAATTATATTAACATGTAGGGTGTTTTAAGTTGATAATTTTTGGATTTAGAATCTCTTACATGATTTTTATATTTTGATGTTATTTGTTAGTTTTTTTATTCAAACATGTTTGTTTATAGTAGTGTGACTGTTAAGATAAAAAAATGCATGTTTTAGAGGTAAAAATGCCAATTCCTAGGGGTTGATAGTGATTGGGTTTTTTGGGCATTTTTTTTAGGTTTAAAGTAATGTTCTTCATGTTTTTAAAAAGAACATTATTCTAACCTATGATTTGGACTAATTTTGGTCTATTTCTTTGTGCTACATACTTCTTTATGCTTGATTAGTTAATAATCTATGATTTATTTGCATCAATAACAAGTTTTGATAGGTTATAATCCTATAGTTTTGGTTTTAAATCAAAACCCATTTTGATAAAATTGTAATGTTTAAGTGATAATAAAAGTGAATGGGTGCTAAATTATTGATCCTTACATGATTTCCAACATATTTGTGTCTTTGTTTTGATCGTATCTAGTCTAATTTGGGGTTCGTGTTGCTGAGTTCATGGTTGAATGTTCTTCGCATTCTTTGTGTTTGATCTGTTTTGTCCAAGAACTTAGTTTTTTTTGTTTAATCTATTTTTTATTTTTTTATTTTTTTTGGATCAAACAAAGATCGTTGGTTCGGTTTATTGTTCAATCAAAGATTTTGGGTCATTCCAGTTGGGATAAAATCAGGTCAAAGGGTTGAAACCCTATTTGGCTTATAATCTTTTTGTTAAAGGGTTTTTGGTTTAAAAATATGTTTAGCAAACACCTACTTAGGTTTGTTATGATAGTTTTATTTTAAGAAAAAAATGAGTTTTTGTTAAGCAAAGTATAAATAAGGAAAAAAACAAAAAATATTTTCTTTTTTAATCTTGCATATGGCAAAAAAATCCTAAAATTGTTTGAGCATTTTTTTTTAAAAAAAAATTCTAAAATATTGTGGTATGTTTTTTTTTAAGAGATATTGCATGGATTTTATATCAAGTTTGTAAAATTTCAAGGGATTTTGATTTATATTTTAAAAATAGTTTTGGAAAGAAAATATATTATCTACTTTTAATACAAGGATAAAAAACCTAAAAAGAGTTAATATCCTAAATATTATTATGGATAATAATTTATTATTACTTACTTTAATATAAGGATAAAAAATTTGTATAAGATTAGCATCTAGAATATTATTAAGAATAATACAACTTATTCATTTTTAATATAAAGATAAAAACCATAAAAAATTTTATTTGAAATATTATTGGAAATGATGCATTAGCAAAAATCCCAAGTTTACCCAAAAACAAGACACAGTGATAATTGAAGCAAAAATCCTAAATTTACCCCAAAACAAGACATAATGATAATTGAAAGCATTTCACCTTTACAGATTGATTTCTTCTCTGTATTATTTAGGTGGATTGGAGAGTAGTAGCTGTATTTTAACAATATTCGCCTAAATAAGTGGTACAGTAGCAAAAAAATGATGGCACAATCCATACAAGAGAAGTTATATGTTTTAGTAGGAAGAGCATGAGATTAAGGGATTTACTTTCCATGTGGTCTCAAGTCTGAGCTCTATGATCGCTAATAAAATAGCTATTAGATATTTATATGGTTGTTGAATTTAAAATTTATAGAATTAATCGAGATAAATATAAGCTAGTGTATACCCACATCAATTAAAAAAAAAGAAAAAAAGAAGTTATATGGGTTGACAATGGATAGACATTTCTGCCATAAACAAGATACAAAACTAACCATAGCACATGCATGTATCGACATCAACTTAATTATTATATTTAGCCTGATTTGTAGATTTTGTGAAGGATTAAATTAGTCAACCTAATTAATTAATTACTTAACATAAAAACCTCCAACCCAAATCAATGGCTATATGTTAGTTAATGCATGTAATTTGCGTACACCAAGTCATTTACACTGTCATTTTTCCTATTAATAGTTACAATCTATACAAGGAGCTAGCCCAAGTCGGCCAATAATTATGTGGAGTAATAACAGTTACTTTTACTATGATTTGTGTGATACTATGATTTCTCTATCACACTAATTATTAATGTTAATATCTTAATCATAGCTATTAAGCTTACCTGACCCGACTGGTTGACATGTTAAGATGTTTGTCTTTTTTTAGAGCTGTGATATCATATTGAAAAACAGAAGGATAAGTTTTACTAGTTCTTCAGTGCTATCTTTTTCATACAAGTAAACATTTCTCTAGTTAACACTTCATTCTAAAGTGTTAACTAGAGAAGAGGAGCGGATTAAAAACATCTTACATGAATGATTCTTTTAGACTTTTAGTTCAAGAGAATAGCTAAGTTGTAGTGCTTTCAAATTTCTAGATAATGATAGAAATATCTGATTATGTTATCTTTCTTAATCTCTCCGGTTGACAGCTAGTAGTTTATTTGATTGGTTTGTTAGTCAACTCCACAGTTTTCTCTACGCTGCTCTACTGTTCTCATCTAAGCTCGTTAGACTTGTAATGTTGAGGTAAAGGGTTCAATTCACATGTTCACAGCATTTTACGTACGTGATCACTAACACCAGACTTAAGTGCATCATTAAAGGCACGTTAGCATATTATTCAATATTTTGTAAATTGTTCACCAAATTGCTGTATTTTATTAAATAATTTAGATCTCATCATCATCTAGGATTCAACAATCACGATTATTGTACGTCTTTCTACTAAATTTCGATTGCTACATGACAGAATAGCTTGCTTATTACACATCATTTTGGGACTGCAATTACTGTTTATTTAACCAAATTATTACAACAAATCAAGGATGTTGGTTCTGTAAAAAGCGCCTAAACATGGTGATCTAACCACCCTTCTTTCTGGCCCTGTTTTACTCTTCAGCTTCTCTATCTCATGTGAAGTGGAAGAGGTGGGATGCTTTGTTCATGCCTGAAAATGTTGTCAGGATCAACTTTGCTCTTCACTAATGCCAACCTGTAGAAGTTACCCTTGAAGTATTTAGCACCCCAAACACTTGCCTTAATAAAGCTAGTGTTAGTATTCCTGTTGATACCCAGATCAAGATCCCTGTAATTCACATATGCTTCCCTTGGATTCTTGGAAACGTAAGGTGCCATGTACATGTAAAGCTCCCTGATCCACTTTACGTGCTTTCCAACATCCCCTGAAGCATCCTGCCAGCCAGTTACATACTGGATCATGAATAGATCACCCTTTCTATGGGGGAAAGGAGTCTCAAACTCAGAGATTTTGCTCATCATTCCACCAAAAGGATTCCATATCATGAAAGCGCCCTCTTCTTTGAAAAGCCTTTTCCAAATACCTTTCAGTGCAGATTCAGGGATAGGTTCTTGGACAAAATCTGACTTGGCTTTGAAGTAGCTCTTCAATACGTTATTTGCTTGAAGTAAAGCTTCGGGAGGTGTATTGCTCGGATAGCTGCCAGTGTATAGCACAGATTCGAGCCAGGTAGTTTCGATGCAATCCTTCTGTGTCAAGCCCAATTCTGGAAAGCTAGATTCCATTACCTTGAGGAGTCTCTTGGCATCACCAAGAAACAAGGCATTATAGGAAGTTGTGATAGTTCTGTTGCCTCTGGTACCGGCTGTTTGAATGCTAACTCTAATGAAGAGGTCTTCGTCAAGTTTGTCAGCAACTTGCTGCCATCTATAGAGGATCTTAGTGGCACCTTGTTCCAAGGTCTTCGTAACTGTAAAGACTGTTACAGTTTCTGGAACAGGGACCAATTTTACTTTCCAGGCAGTAATAATGCCAAAGCTTCCTCCTCCTCCTCCTCTGATTGCCCAAAAAAGTTCTTCTCCCATGGCTTTTCTATCAAGAATCCTGCCCTGAGCATCGACTATGCGAGCATCGATGACATTATCAGCACCGAGGCCATATTTCCTCATCATAGGACCATAAGCACCACCTATAATGTGCCCACCCATGCCTAAACTGGTGCAAAGGCCAGCAGGGAAACCATGCTTTTTACTTTTTTCAGCAATCCTGTAGTAAAGTTCACCATTTGTGGCGCCTGCCTGAACCCAAGCGCTATTATCTTCGATGTCAACGTCAACGGACCGTAGCTTGGCAAGGTCTATAATAATGAAAGGGGATTCAATTGCAGAGACATAAGAGACAGCATCGTAATCATGGCCTCCACTGCGAACTCTAAAGTGAATTCCAAGCTGTTTGCAGCAAACAACAGCTGCTTGAATGTCGGATTCATTGAATGGTGTGAAGATAAACTCTGGCTTCGGCACTGAAGGCAATGTATACCTCAGGTTTTGAGCAGTAGAAAGTAAAACTGTGGTGAATGAAGAGTTATTAATTGGAGAGTACAAGGCAGTGGAGAAAGGAAAGGAGGATTCTGAAGTTGTTGAGAGACATTGTCGAAACCTATCCTGAATTGGGTATGAAAATACAAATGGAGATAGGAGTAGGACTACAAGTATTGAAAGAATGGAAGCACTTGGAAACACCATTTTTGCCTACTTATTTCTCTATCTCCCTGGCTTGTGTATCGAAACCCGAAGCCCCAAGATTACTTATATAGTAATCTTGATGAGTATGAGTCACATTATTCAGGGATTAAATGTAAGCCTTATTGTAATGATTTTTATTATATCTTCAACAACCAACAGGCAACTTGGGCCTAGATATTGGTCATCTATGCTTTTCCATGTGAAATTCCTGTTTTGACAAATATTTTACCTGACTTTTCTGCGAAGGGATTCTTCAGAAACTAGACGGAAACTTGTTCTGGTCACCATTTGGTTTCTCATTACATTACTCCATTCACATGATCTTAACCATTTCTTAGTGCTTGGAGCTACATGTGTTGCGCTATTAGAGTTCATACTGGTTCCAACCCTTTGAGATTCTGAAACAACCTGCTTCTGCAACTATTGAAAATCTCACTGGTAGGAGAACATTATTCGTTTACATACTTTAGTCCTAGCCCGCAGCCAATCAAGAAATTTAAACTACATAATTGATTGCCATTCACACATGTATTATTTTGTTGGTATTAATTAAAAGTCATCTCTTAGTTATGTTTGATATTAATTATTCTACGACTCTTTTTTTCTTCTTTCAAAACTGGGTTTCTTCAAGTTGTAAGAGAATTTTACCTCCTGTCAGTAGTATCATTGAATTGAATGTCCATTTCAGTATAGCAATTTGGTACCACCCTAGTTTGAAATCCCTCCATTGAGATGGTTTATATATATATATATATATAGTGTTATTAATTCTATAATAAGTAAGGGATTGTTATCTACATTATTATCCAGAACTCCATCCTTAGTTTTCCTTAGAAAAAACTTTGAAATCTTGAATGACTAATAATTGAGAGCAAACTAATGTAGAATACTTCGCGGTGGAGGATTTCTGAAGGGTCAAAGATTGCTAGCCTCCAAGAAATTACAAACCCTCCAAGAACGCAAAAGCCTGGCCCAGAGAAAGAACCAACCTCGCACTAGGCGGCTTAGGTCCACTATAACATCGAGTTTATGCCATTTGCACTATTTTACTTTTCTTTTAGCAGCCGACATTCAAGACCTTCTGTCGCATGCTTTGAAACCTTTTTTTTTTTTTTTTCATAAACTCATGATTTTTTTTCTCGTTTAATATATTTCAAATCACTTGAATGGAAAAAAAATATATACTAAAGCTATTTTTGTTTTGACAATAATATCTATATGAGATATATGTACATCATGGTTCCCTTTTATTTTTTACGCAGTTCCTAGGAAACAGTCATCTAAAGTGATTAATATGCTAATTTTTATTTTTATATGATTCTTCCTTCAACTCTATTAAAAAATAATATAAATTATATATTCAATCTTATATAATAATTTAAATTATTAAATTAAAATAATTTTATAATAATTTCAAAATTTTTAAATTTAATTAGATAAGTAAGTCAGCCCAAAACCTAATAACAAATTTGATAAATTAATCTAAATTATTTTAAATTAATTTAAAAAAACTAGGTTTTATCTAGGTTATAAATTGATACATTAAATAATTTTCACTCGATTTAATTTAAAATTTTAATTTAAAATCTAACATAAATTGACAACTAAGCCTAGCCAAATTTTTTGATTTTTTTTTGGTGAAAAGCCTAGCCAAGTTAATAACAACGCGTGCTTAGTGGAATCTTGTTATTAATATTGGATTATAACATATATTGCAACATCGAACATGCCGCATATTTGTCAAGCTTCTTTTATTTGTTTTAACCTTTTTTTATTTGTTTTACTTCTAGAAAATTAACAAATATAAATAGACATATCAACAAAGTATTTTATTGCTAAATTGTACTGAATTTTTCTGACTAAATATATTTTTTATAATATTTATCGATAAACATTGACGGAAATATTCTTATGATATATACAAAGAGAATTACAATAAAAAAATAAATAAAAAATCTAAAAATACAATGGTGTATTATTTTTACAAATATTTAAATTTGTTTATTAAATTTATCAATAATATTTAATTGATGACAACCCTCCTCTCTTCTTCTCAAATTTCTTCTTCTTCCTCTATGTTTTTTTTACCATGAACAACACAACCCCCACCCCAAATTTTATCTTAAATCAACTTTTCATTACAATTATAATCACTCTAACACTTAGTTTTTTAACATCTTTGTTCTAATTCAAATTTTATTAAGGATTCTCCACTTCAAATAAACAAAACCATTCATTTTTTATTTGAACTCAATTTTAAAATGTCGATTTTTGTTGCATATGTCATGACTCAAATTTGACTCCTATTTTTGTATATTTTGAAAAAATAAAAAATATATGTTTTTTCAGTGGTTTTATTTAATTTCTATTTCAAAAAAAATCTTTTAAAGAAAAAAACAAAATGCAAAATATTAAAAAATTAAATAGAAAAAGCTGGGGTTTGAAATTGAATTGATAATTGAGCTTCACATTTGAAAATAAAGTTTGAAAATTTTTAGATAATAATTGAGGTTTGAATTGAAGAGTAAATTAAAGAAAAAAGCTTAATTTGATTTGATTTTGCTAAAAGTGAAAGAAAATTGAAATTCAATGTTTATTTTGAAATAAATAGTTAATTTAGAAATCAATCAAGGTTTTGATTGAAAAAGAAAAGTCAGAATTGGAAGTTAGATCATCAAAATTATATAATTAGAGATATAATTAAAAAGAAAAGGATGATTTACGGTAAATTGGTAAATTGAATGAAATTGGAAAAGTTCAAAATCCAAGGATTGTAATGAGAACGAGGGATGTCTGCCTGTATTCTTACTCCAGTCTATTTCAATCCATTTAATTTAATTTAGTCCAAATTGATTCGTTGATTTCAATCATATTATTCCAATTGGATTAATTTATTCAATTTAGTCCCAAATTAAGTCCAGAGATTGTAATCTCCCAACTATAGCCGGATTCTTGAGCAATTAAACCCCAAAATCCTGCAATCAGTTTCAGATTTTGGATTGCAGTCCCAAGCAATTAAGTCCAGATACCAATCTCCCAATTCCAGGAAATCAGCTATGGAATTCCTGCAAATCATAGAATTTCCTGCATCAAATGCCAAACTTTCAGTTCCATTCTCTCCTTCAAAAAGGCACGAACAAGAGACAACCAGGGGGGCCTCTCATTTAGCTAAAAGGATTGACCATGCACACAGCCTTCATGATCCATTTCCTTCAAACGCCATAACTACCCAGTTCCATTCCTCTTCTTTCCCACACGGAGACCATTGCCATTGCCATTGCCATTCCAGTCCCGGATCAAAACCAACACTGTCCAGATTAACCATAACCACGACACCTCAGTAGACTACCAATTGATCTCTCCAGCCAATCATCTCCCTCACCAGTCAACCATCAATCACTGATACTATATTTCAGAACTACCAGCCTCTCATTCAACTAAAGGATTCAAACAACACCACATCCTAGAACAACACAAAAGCTTCCATCCTTCACTCTCGAAAAAATACCAGCACAGGAACAAAGGAGGCGACAAAGGACAGAGAGCCGCCAGAAAAAACCAAACCCGAAACCCATGGTCTTCCTCGCATAGCCAACCCAACAAAAAGAGAAAGAGACAGCCACAATGAAGAGAAGAGATGGAGATTGGTCACGGTCTTTCTTTTTAGAATGAGAGAAGGCTGAGAATGTTGAAAAGTTTTCGTAGCAAAATAAGCCAGTGATTTCGTCTTTGATGTACAGAGAATAATTCTGTAATATTTTCCGCTCATACGATTTGATAATTTGCATTGAGTAAAGGAAGTGTCTGGAAAGCTGTTGAAATCGTTATTTAAAAAAAAATATTTTTTTTATATATTTTTACAGATATAAAAATTATTTTTTAAAAAATAAAAAATATTATCTTAATATATTTTTAAGTAAAAAATATTTTTATTTTTATGATATATAAAATAATTTCATAATATTTTCCGCTCATAAGATTTAATAATTTGCATTGAGTAAATGAAGTGCATGGAAAGTTGTTGAAACTGTGTTTATTAAAAATTTAATTTTTTTTAAAATTTTTTTTTTATGTTTTTAGATTGTTTTGATATGTAATTATTAAAAATTATTTTAAAAAAATAAAAAAATATTATCTTGATATATTTTCGAATAAAAATAACTGTAATAGCTATCACCCTCTCAAACACTTCCTAAAATTCAATTCTATTTTTACTATCTTCATGCATCCAACGTTTACATAAAAATAAACACAAAAAAAGTAAAAAAAATATTTAATTTACATGTTTTTTTTTTTAAAAAGGAACCCTAGATTTCAAATCAAACATTAGTTACATACATTTTTAGCAATTTTTTGATGTGTCTAAATATCACTGTCAAACTTTTCACAAAATTAAAAATTAAAAAAACTAAAAACAATTACAATAATTGATGACAATCAAAAAGATAAATTAAAAAAATACATAATAAAGATAATTTTTTATAATAAAAGATGCTGTAAGAATGACAATGTTCTTTCCTTGGGTATAATTAATATTTTACCCGAGTCTCTGAAACTAATGCTAACTTTTAGAATCTCATATTTCTTTTAATTACTAAATGATAACTTTAATTTTCTATTTTTCCATTTGCTTGCAACGTCTACCGAGGTGCAACAACATATTTTTGTAGTGTATATATACATTATTTGGGTGTTTACTTGTTTAATAGTTTTTTCTCATAGAAATTTGATATATGAATGTATGATGTGTACATTGTAAGGTTTATTTGAGATTTTATAAAATTGTATTTATTTATAAATTAATGAAATTTATTTTGAATTTGTGATTTAAGTGTTTTATGATGAAATAAAAAAATGGCTTATTTAACGGATTCATTTTATGTTTTATCATTTTTATTGTTGAGTTGAAATTTTCAGTAAATATATAAAAATTTAAATTTATATAAATAATTGATAATGAATTAGTTGAACTATTAAAATAGTTTGAATAAGTTTAAGTTAAACTAATGTTCTTTAATTTATTTAGTTTATATAATTAATTAATACATTTTGTTA